TAACTGGTGATTTTCTCGCATTTTTTTGGAGCCGAAATCCCGGAGAAAACCGCATTTGAAAAAGCGCAACTTCTACGCAAATTTAAAACGCTCTGGAATGGCGGGCAAATGACGTTGTTGAAATACTACGGTAGTCAAATCGATGTCTAACTCAAAGCTTCGCAGAACGCCACGGGTAGCGCCGCCGCGCCGCGCCGCAGCTACAAGCTACAACAAGCAACAGGTGATAACCAAGATACATCCATGTGATAACCACTTTTCACGTAAATAAACAAACCTCCGTGATCGCTAGCTATGGCCAGGTGTTTTGTGCCGGGGTGTGAAAACAGTGAAAGTGAAAGTGGTAAACACTTTTTTAGTGTGCCACGAAATGAAAGGCGATATGACTGGTTCCGGGCCGTGGGGAAGAATGACGGCAACATCTCCCTCACCAGAAATCTGGTCTGCTGCCAAGACCATTTCATCGTAAGTACCACAGCACTGATGATAAGGTAATTTTAATCCAACAAAAGGAATGTGAAATATATGTAGGTATTCATATCCACCCAAATATTGACAAATACTAAGAGCAATACCCCTTTAAAGCTGATAGCAGGTAAGTGCAGGTGAGATCAGCTGGAACGCCTTATTTCTGCAACAATCCTCGACGCAACGATAAATTAACTTGTCTACGAAGGATATACAGACATTGACCCCATTTCACGAAGAGTCCAGTGTGACCTCTGAGTCAAGCTATATAAACGCCAGACAGTTATTATGAACATTACGATGCTTCTGAGGCCTCCCTGATTGATGGATGAATGGCAACAATGTACTTATCAGTTTCAAGCTCATGATGTACAAAATTCTTTTTTTTAAATGAAATGAACTTGCACTGGGCCAATTCAAAATATTTTCCTGCTAATCATTAGACATTACTGTCCAAGATCTGTCTAGATTGAATGAATAATGGATTACTGCGTCATTAATCTGAAGTGCAAGTGGATGAATTAATCCACTGCGTTAAGCTGGTCTGTGTTCCGTAAGGTTATTTCCATCATGACGCGTTCATTAAATAATAAGACCAATTTCCTCTCAGCTTCAGTGGAAAATACAGGGGACAAAATACCTCCATCAATCCCAGCTATCTCATTGTTTCAAGTCCTGTTCAACTTTTCCTCTAATTGTATCTAATGAAAAATGAATCTATTTAAAGTGAACAGTTAAAAGTTTCATTCGATGAAGTTGGAGGGAAAGGATTGATTTCACTGAGCCTCAGGTCTAAACTAAGAAAGGGATGAGGGTGAACCACTGAATTCCCTGCAGTTTTAAAATTATACAATGTGACTCCCGCTTTCTAAACTTAGACAATTTTTACAGAGCACACCCCTCTAAAAATATTGTAGCTACCTTCCTCCCTCTCAGTGCTTGCATGATTAATACACTTGAAACACGTATAGGTGCTCCTGGTCATATTATACTGAGGTTACATAAAATAGTTTTTTTGACCAACATTAGATTATATTTTTTTAAAACTGAGCTATAATGAATCTTCACTTGTTGATGTTAGAGTGAAGGGTGATGAGAGACTAAACTCATTGGTTTTTTAATCTAACATTGTCTAGTTACATTTTATGTATTATTAACTTATTACAATTTATGCATCTTGCAGCTTAACTCTGATGTGGAAGGCTATCATATGTCCCAGATGTTGTTGTCTGGTGGTTTCAAGACAAAATGGAAATTGAAAAAAGATGTCCTCCCACGTATGTCAATTTTGAATGTCAACTTAGAACCTGTTGGACTCTCGGACGACTCTTTCCAGCCCTTGCTTTCTAAGGTATCCTGGAGTATTTTTCTCTTTCTAGCCGCACAGTTTTATTACAGAAAGAACCAAAATTGGACTAAGTCCAGCAGATAGGAAGCAAGTAAAGCACATTGCTGTTAAGATTGAGGAACTTTTACTTAGAGGTGAGGATAACGAGACCATGCAAGCAAATAAAATTCGTAGGTAGAGTGTTTTCTTAGCAACTAATAGTACTATTGGTAATATTAGGAATGAAAACTGTTGAAACTTTCAAATTTTCTTGCCTGAAAGAAAATGTTGCACCATCTTTACAGCATCACAATGTACTTGTGTGGTTCCTTTCTGCTAACCTGAGTCGAATTGTTTTATTCTATGTATTCTTTTATCAGATATTAGTTCAAAACCAGCTATTGAAAGTAGTTGTTTACTTTTTGTAGTGCCAACAAGATTCTGTTCGTTTTTCTTTCATGAGACCTAAAACTGAAACATCTTCAAAGAAATCTTCTACTAGTGATCAAATCAATTTTGGCTTAAAAAAATTTGGTGTCTCATTTTAATTTTAAGAGTCCTAATTAATATTTTAAATAAAAAATTTCTTCATAGTACCGATCAAAATGACACCCTCATCTTTTCTAAGTGATTTTCATAAATATTTTAGGTCTCATACGAATGAAACGAAAATTGAGCCCTACACCTAAAAATTATTCATGTTGTCCTTGTACTGGGAGAATAGCGCAGATCGCACGCCGGACAGCGGCTCAGAGAGGAGGAAATATTGTGACATCATAGGTTAGGTTTTGCTCTAGTTTTCCGTGTGAACCGCGGCCAGCCCTAGATTGATCAGCACTTTTCGTGTGATGCTATTGGCGTAAAGGGGCATTACTTTGGGGTTAATCTGCCATTTCTAATGACCTCCTTTGGAACAATTTATAAGTTACTGACAATATGCAAAACTGGACTCGAGAATTCAAAAAGAGTGGTTTTGTGATTGAGGCACACAGAAATAGAGGACCGTAACGTGCTTCGGCTGGTGATATCGCAATGATCCGCCTTTCGGCATTCATCAGTTCCAAAAAAAGAAGAAGAGAAAAAAAGACTTATCTAATATATGAATCAAGGTGTTAAAATTGTTATCTTAAAAAGCCAAAGAAGTCTCTATCCAGCCAACATTTGAACAGCCTGTTTTTTTTTTTTTTTTTCCAGACCCTCACAAATCCAGATGTATTACCCGATGAAAAATCATCGAAAACCATTGGTTGTCAGGTAAGATCAATCACTAGAATTTCATAAAATATTTTCTGTTGTCTTAAAAGTTGAGAAAGAATGGAGAAAATAAAATTTCCTGTTCAAAATTGACAAATAAATAGAAGAAACCACTCAAGAACTTTAAAAAAGTAAATGTTAAAATTGCACTAGTTAAAATAGTATGAAAAAAACGGACGTGGTAAAATCAAATTGCTCTTCAAAAGATATGGGGAGGTCCAGTTAAAATTATCATCGTGACCTTTCTCGATTTTAAAGATAACTTTCGTTTACTGTCTAGTCTAAATAGAGAAAGTGCAGAGGTTACTAGCATAAAGCAGGATCCAATCTTGATGATCTTATAATCACAAATGTGAGGAACAGGATGACCGTCATGAAGAAGTCTTTAAAGGTCTACCTTTTTATTTGACTTTCTTGCTGAAAATTGAAATCATGACCTAAAAACCCTGGAAAAGTCAGAGAATTTTGTTTTCAGAAAAAAAAGACACCCTGAAAAGATGGGGCTTTTTTGACATAAGATTGTGCAAAGTCATAATGACAGCTGTCTGAGAGCACCATTTAGGTTTTTAAAATTCTTGATGAATTTTTTTTAATTATTATAACTAAAATGATTCATTTTGATTTTGTTTTTCAGGTTAATGTGCGCCCTAAATTCAGATCGGTCAATCTCCAAGTTAGGCCCCAGACAGCCTCAGCTGAGTGTCAAACAGACTTAGGGCGGGTAATAGCTTAAGCACAAAATTATGTCTATTTTTCAATTTCAATTTTGTTCTTTTTTTTCTGTTAAAAAATAAACTAGGATTAATGAGAATAATTTACAAACGATTAGTTAAATTTGACTCAAATTGCAATGCATTACAGGTAAAGGATACCAATGGAGAAATTGCAAGTGTCTGAAATTTGATGAATTTCGTCTTTAAGTGAAAACTGCTGAGTGAACTGAACACAAGGACACCCTTGGTTCATGAATTGAACAATTATTGGAGAAGATATGAAAAAATGATCTAATCTGCTAAAATATGTGTGTTTAAATGGGAACTGCCGCCAGATGATGTCACTAGGCGGTGCATTTTCTCACTTTTAAATTTTTTTTATACTATTTTCTATATCGGAAAAAAATTATAAAAATACTGTGAAATCAGCTCTTTAAGCACTTTCAGATGAAGCAATAAAAAATTTGCATGCAAATTCTCCATTCAACAATGAATTGTTGTTAATGGAATAGATCATAAAAGAAGGTATACTAATGTAGAGTTCTTGCAAAATGAGTTGGCTGACTCACAGAGTGCAACAGATTATGCGCAATCCTTCAGTTTTGATGTGAAACAAAATGAAAGAATCAATGTGGTGAAGCTTGTGTCTCACTCTGGAAGTTGTCGTAATAATTTTGGGAGAACTCTACAGATATGAAGGGAAAGTCAAAAAGTTCACCAAAAAAATTGAGTTTTTTTCAGTTACTTTAAAAAGGGGAGCGAAAAATAGTGACAGAAATAAATGTACAGAATATAATCATCAGGTATTTGCAATTCTCTTTTATTTATGAAATGGACATAATTCCATAATTTTTCTCGATGGATCATATAATTAGTTATGCAGCATGAAAACAAGAAACATTAAAATTTTGTCAGGTATACTTTGCAAACAATTTCAGCTATCAGTTTGCTCAATAGCTACAAATATTCTCAACACGGCAAGTTCATGAGAAAAGTTCAAGCTTATTTGAGTGATACTATTTGTACAGGCTTCATATCTAAATAGAATAAAATGTAAGCAGTACTTAAATCTAAATAGAATAAAATGTAAGCAGTACTTAACACTGCAGGTAAATGTCTTTGAAGATAACAAATTTAAAAGAGCCCTAGACATGCTGCCAAAATGGCAAACTATGTTTAACTATCTTGCCCAATTATCTTTTGAGGAAACTTTGTAGATAGTTGCAAAATTCGTGGAGACAATTGAAGACACCAGTAGAAGAGGGGCCTAAATTGGTACTTAGAAAAAGTGATTGGACCTACGGAAAATAGTTTAGGAAGTGTTAAGAAATCTCTAAGTATAAAAATTCTGTATAGTTTTCTAACAAGACTCCTTCCTATTTATTCTATGTTGTTCTGAAATTTTAAATAATATCAATAAATGAGGCTCACTTAGTACATCAAAATCATCTCGGCTGATTCTTAGTCATTCCTTCCACTCGTGTCTTTAAATGTAAGCATAATCTATGAAATTTCCTCACCTGTGAGAATTTTCTATCTTTTAAGAAAACGGTGCACTTATGTCTCACCGCAACTCTTTATCTTTATTGCTGGTGCATTTTAAACAATAGTAATTATTTGTTCATAGTTAAACTGGGAGAAACAAGCCATTAAAAAAAGTTAATACAAATTAAATGGTCTCTAAAAATTTAGCTTCAACAGTTATAGCACTTTTCCTCCTCTAGTTAAATATTCTTATTTCTATTTACATGAAGTATAAAAAATTGATTATTAAAAAATTAACTCAATTAATAATGGATTCCATGTTTACTTTTGGATTTAGAGTCCTCCTCCCAAAGTCTTGACTGCCTCTTGCCACAATGAAGAAAATCTTCCCCTAAAAGCCTCCAAAGGAAAGAAGAGACAGTATGATGAAGCAAACAATAGTTCCTCAAATCCATCTCAATCATCTCACTCAGATTACATTCCCAGCCAAAAATCGAAAGCCTCCTCGACTAGTACGTCCGTAACTCTTAAAGAATATTCTGTAAACGAAGAAAAATCCCATTCATGTGCTTTAAACCTAAAACTCATGTATAGCAATCCCATGTATTATCTAGGTTTGCATAAAGAACATGCTGCCACTATTTTGAATAAGTTACAGAAATACTCTAGGCTCAGCGAAAAGAAAATTTTAATAGCATTACGAAAAGTACGATTAAATGAAGCCAATGAGGGTTTAAGCCATGTCTTTGGCTGCAGTGAAGTGTACATTGGTCGAGTTATAAACGAAGTCATTCCAGTCATTGCAGAGTTGGTAAAATCCCTCATTTACCAGCCGCAAAAAGACATCATTAAAGCGAACTTGCCAGTATCATTTAGAGCTCGCTACTCTAATGTAGGTTATATTATCGACTGCTTCGAAATAGAAATTGAGAAGCCCACACACTCTGTTCTGCAGAGTGTTACGTGGTCCTCCTATAAACATTGCAATACTCTGAAATATTTGATATCTTGTACGCCAAATGGCTTCATTAATTTTGTCTCTGTAGGATATGGAGGAAGAGCCTCTGACAAAGTCATCACTGAAGCTTCAGGATTTTTGAGCATTTTAACACCTGACAATAGAGTCATGGCTGATAGAGGCTTCAAACACATTGAAAGTATGGTTGTCAAAGCAGGAAGCTCCCTTGTAAGACCCCCCAGTGTAGGAAACAACGAAAAAATGACCAAAGATGAAGTAAGGCAAACCAAAGTAATTGCTAGTCTTAGAATAAATGTAGAGAGAGTCATAGGTCGCCTTAGAGATTACAGGTTTCTTGCACCTCATGCTAGAAATCATCATGATCTACTCAGTTTAACAGATTCAGCTGTAATTATTGCTTGTGCTTTTGCAAACTTGCAAGGCCCATACTATAAATAAAAGCGAAACTAATCACAGCTTAAGCATTAAAGTTAACAATGAAAAATTGGGAACCAATTTGAAATAAAAAAAAGGTTTCAGGTACAGATAACAATACAAGAGTAACCACAAAAAAAAAAAGAAAAAAAAATACTTGAAAACAAAAGGAAACATTCAGATTCAGCAAAAAATTATTCATTGCGGTGTAATATTAATTTCATAAAAGAAATCAAAATTGCTTTTTAAGGGAAGTCAATTGATACACATGACACCAAGGCAAGACAGAGGCCCTATAATTTACAATATTTCTAATTATTTTGCTTCAAACCAGTTATTTATCCGTTATTGTTCAGCTGTATTGTAGTGTTATGCTGTTTGGTTCTTCTGGTGAGAATTTCTTTTTTTCTCCCCAATCCTCTGAGCACTGAACTATGAATTTTAGCACTTGCTACAAGCAAGATGAATTTTTTTCTCCTCTTTTTTGGTGTGCAAGTGCAAGTAGGCAATTTTTCGAATTACTTTTTGTCTTAACTCCAAGAGTTATTTTTAAATTTGTCTTCAATTTCATTCTCATGAAAGAAACTGTTTTTGTGAACTTCTTCAGGAAAAGGGAGTATAAGGCTTCCAATGCTGCCAAGATTGTGTCATGTCGCTCTTGAAGTTCAAGTAACCTGTCGGGAAGCTCTGCCATAAATTTTTCCTTGAATCTGCTTCAAATTTTTTTCCACTATTATGTGGAAGTAAGTCAACTATGAATGAATTTCATTTACTGCAAATGCTATGAAAAATTGCACAATCTTAGCAGCATTGCAAGCCTTATACGCCCTTTTACCAAAGAACTCCTGATTTACAAGTGTACACTTGTGATACATGTTTCTATCAGCTAGTAAAGCTCAAAAATCAGATAAATATTAAAAATAAATATATATGGTGCAGGCAACATTATCCAGTCTGTTGCATGCCTACACAGATGGTACAATTTACAAGCTTGCATGAATTTTCCAATTTCTCGATTTTTCAAAGTACACAGTGAGATTTATGAAACACCTCATCAATGAAAATAAGGTATCCACCTCAATCTTAAAATTTCTGAATACCTATTGCAATGTTTTTAGTAAAAGAGAGAATTATTAGAAGCTTGTCATTTATTTAAGATAGCTATAATAACATTGTCTTCCTCCTCTGAAATGCTTTGTTGAAGGAAATTTGAGACGAACTTCAGACTATGAATAAGACTGCTTTTAGACTGTATAACAAGTTAAAGCTAGATTCAGCATTTTCATTTAATTTATCCTCGACCTTCTTCAAGTTGGAGCTAAAATGATCAAAACAATAAGAAGCGAAGAGAAAAATGCAGACAAGTTCTTTACTCTGAAAGTTTGGACTTGTTAAACAAACCTGAACTGAACTAAACCATCTCTCTTTCTGTGTGCTGGCTATCAGTGTACTTCATTTACACTCTTGTAAATGAAGGGTCCAGTGTCTTAAGATTTTGGCTGGCATTATGTCTTTCTCTCTCTCTTTTTGAGAACAGATAAGCGGCCTCATGGCTTAAAAAAAGATAGAGCTTATGTTTTGACGCCGAATTAAGTTCTGACCTACTGTTTTACACATGTCCATTCCACAATACTAGTTCTACTTGTAAATACCATAATTTCAAATTTTCCAAAAATGTCACTCAACATGTGTTTCTTCTAGACCTTTCAAATGAATCAGTGAGAACGAAAGCACACCAACTCCGAAAAATGAAAGTTATCAAGACACACACAAAACTGCACAGAAGATGAAGAAATTAGTCTCAGAAAAAATATTTTCGGTGCCGAAATGCAAGTACTTAAGAACATTTTAAAGGTCCAAGTTGGAACAGGTGCGCTAACTTCAATGACCTTTATAAAGATTGACCGTCTTTAATGAAAATTTAGCATTTCTGAGTTACCTACCGGGTTGGTGTGTTTTCGATCTCACTGATTCAAATATGAAGTAACACAAAATATGTAATTTACCAACATTAAAAATGAACTAAGGCTCATGAGAGGTAAGAAAACAACACTAAAAATTAAAAAATGAGACAAATTTAAATCACAGATTGTGCTGTCCAAATGATGTTCCAAAAATCACATGATGAAAGAACAAGCCTAAATATTTTCAAAAGTTTACTTCCAAATGAATTAAAAGAATTACCAAAAGCATTTTTGTAAGGCTTCCAAATAAAGATAATGGAATAAGGTACATATTTAGGTGATTCGATGGACATCATATTTTCTGTCAGAACAGCATGCGATGTATCGCATCAAATAATTCAATTTTTTTAGCTACTCGTCATTTTTCTTGAATTTTAAGATCGCAATTCTGTTGTCAGGAGACTAAAGCACTCACTTACCAATTTCAACAAAGAAATTCAATGTAATAAAGGCGCGGTTTTTTTAGAGAGAAAATATCGCATTCGAGTGCAGTTTCGATATCAGTATCGAATGCGATGTTTTCTCTCTAAAAAACCACGCCTCTATTACGTTGAATTTCTTTGTTAAAATTGGTAAGTGAGTCTCATGACAACAGAATTGCGATCTCAAAATTGGAGGAAAATGACGAATAGCTGAAAAAATGGAACCGATGGAGATGTTGCATGTGTGAGGGATTTGCAATTTGACCATTGATTCTTATGTAA